AGGAGGAGGAGGAAGAAGAAGAAGAAGAAGAAGAAGAAGAAGAAGAAGAAGAAGAAGAAACTCTCTATTTGTTGTCTACAGGAAATGCATCTCATGGATAAAGACATACATAGACTGAAAGTGAAGGGTTGAAAAAAAGTTTTTCATGCAAATGGGAAATGAAAAAGAGCTGGAGTTGTGATACTAATTTCTGAAAAAATAGGCTTTAAAACAAAAACTATTCGAAGAGACAAAGAAGGGCACTATATTGTAGTAAAAGGATCAATAGATCAAGAAGATATAATGCTAAAAATATCTATGCGGCTAACACAGGAGCACCCAAATATGGGAAGGAAAGACTATTAGATCTAAAAGAGGAGACTGACAGCAATACACTAATTGTTGGAGACTTCAACACTGCACTATCTCCTCTGGACAGATCATCTAGACAAAAAAATAGATAAAGAGATAAAAGATCTAAATGATACCATAAATCAAATGGACTTAACAGACATCTATAAAACTTCCCATCCAAAAATGAGATAATATTTTTCTCACCCCCACATGGAATCACATCATATGGCACAAAGCAAACCTCTAGATTCAAAGGCATAGAAACTATATCCAGCATCTTCTCTGACCATGATGGAATTAAACTTGAGTTTAAGTTCAGGAGAAATCCATAAAATACTCAAATACATGGAAACTAAATAACCTACTTCTGAATGACTCCACAACTACTGAAGAAATAAATACTGAAATCAAAAGATTCACGGAAGCCAATGACAATGAGGACGTGAGTTTCCATAATCTTTGGGACACTCCTAAAGCAGTCATAAGAAGGAAGTTCATAGCAATCAGTGCACATTAAGAGGAAGTAGAATGAAGGTAAATGGTTCACCTAACATTGTGCCTCAGAGAATTGGGAAAGTAACAGCAAAAACATAAAGAAAGCTCCAGGAGAAAGGAAATGATAAAGATATGGGCAGAAATAAATAAAATAGAAAATAAATGAACCAGAAAGAAAATAAGTGAAAGTAAAAACTGGTTCTTTGAAAAGATCAATAAATTTGATACACCACTAGCGAGAATCAATAAAAGAAGAGAGAAAGGAACCAGATGAATCAAATCTGCAATGAAGCAGGCAATATAACAACAGACAAAATAGAAATACTAACCATCATTAGAGGATAATATAAACATCTATATGCTAAGAAACAAGACAATCTGGATGAAATGGACAAATTTCTGGACACATATAATCTACCAAGATTGAGCCAAGAGGATATAGAAAGTCTGAATAAGCCTGTAACAAGCCAGGAGACTGAATCAGTAATAAATAAACTTCCAACAAAGAAAAGCCCTGGCCCTGATGGCTTCGTCTCTGAATTCTACAAAACTTTCAAAGAAGAGTTAACCCCACTCTGCTCAAGTTATTTCTAAAGATCCAAAAGGGTGAATCTCTCCCTAATTCACTCTATGAAGCCTCTATCACCCTTATCCTTAAATCAGGTAAGGACAGGACAAGGAAGGAAAACTATAGACCAATATCTCTGATGAATATAGACACAAAGATTCTCAACAAGATACTAGGAAATCATACCCAACGACTTATAAAAAAGATTATACATCATGATCAGGTAGGCTTTATTACAGGAATGCAAGGTTGGTTCAACATACGCAAAACCATAAATGTAAAACACCATATTAACAGGAAGAAAGATAGAAACCGTGCGGTCATATCAATTGATGCAGAAAAAGCATTCGATAAGATACAACATCGCTTCATGATCAAGACTTTCAGCAAAATCAGCATAGACACAATAAAAGCCATCTATGAAAAACCCATAGCGAACATCATCCTGAATGGAGAAGAGCTGAAAGCTTTCCCACTAAAAACGGGTACGAGACAAGGATGCCCACTTTCTCCACTCCTTTTCAGCATAGTACTGGAAGTCCTCGCCAATGCAATCAGAAAAGAGGAAAAACTTAAGGGCATCAAAATAGGAA